AGGACCACCCGTGCCTCTTGTGCGTCAACAAATTGGCTCTGTTGAAACAGAATTGTGTATGTTTTGAATTTAAACATGCTTATGACAAATGCATGTATTTTCTTCATAATCTAAGCAAGTTTAAACGAATCGTTAATTAGTGGGAATTAAGTCAAATATGGATACCAAGAAGATAATTCACCATGAAGTGGATGTTGACACAGACGAGGCACTACAATGACATCTGTTGCATGTTACACGTGTAAACTACCAATACCTGACATGTTCGGCATAGCGAGTCGACATCAGCATCCCGATCGAGTGCTACAATACATGATACTGCAAACGTGGTACATGTTACAACACTGGATTTCAGTGTTGCTAATCTTTCTGAGACTTACAGTTCAGCTAATGACCGTAATACAATGCTACATTCCTCCTAATGACCCTGTAACAATCTTTGACATAGTCCTACAGTCCTTTCATTGTATTTGAGTGCAACAGTATTTCCAATTACATAGTGCTACATCTCTTTTATTGTATTTACATATTGCTATTACGGTCCCTGTCATAGTGCTACAGTCGTGCTATTGTCTTGGCGGGTGGCCTAGTGGTTAAAGCGTTCGGTCGTCATGCCGAAGGCCCGGGTTCGATTCTCCACATGGGTATAATGTGTGAGGCCTATTTCTGGTGTCCCCAGCCGTGACATTGCTTGAATATTGCTAAACGTAAAACCCCCTCACTCACTCCTGCTATTGTCCTTGACATTGTGCTTCTCATGTTGTTGTCACTGATATAGTGCTGCTGCCTTGTTATTGTCACTGACAGACCTACTTTGACCTTTGACATAATGCCACTGTCCTACTGTTGTTGGCATTGACGTCACACCACAGTTCTACTATTATTTTCTGTGACGTAATGCCACTGTCCTACTGTTTGTGTCTTTGACGTAATGCCACAGTCCTACTAATACTGTCTTTGACGTAATGCCACAGTCCTACAATTACTTTCTTTGACTTAATGCTACTGTCCTACTAATACTGTCTTTGGCGTAATACCACAGTCATACTAATACTGTCTTTGACGTAATGCCACAGTCCTACAATTACTTTCTTTGACTTAATGCTACTGTCCTACTATTACTGATTTGACGTTATGCCACGTTCCTACTACTACTGTCTTTGACGTAATGCCACTGTCCAACTATCACTGTCTTTGAGTTAATGCTATTGTCCTACTATTACTGTTTTTGACGTAATGCCAAAGTCCTACTAATACTGTCTTTGACGTAATGCCACTGTTCTACTATTACTGTCTTTGACTTAATGCTATGGTCCTACTATTACTGTTTTTGACGTAATGCCACAGTCCTACTAATACTGTCTTTGACTTAATGCTACAGTCCTACTATTACTGTCTTTGACTTAATGCTATTGTCCTACTAATACTGTCTTTGACGTAATACCACAGTCCAACTATTACTGTCTTTGACGTAATGCAACTGTCCTACTATTACTGTCTTTGACGTAATGCCACAGTCCAACTATTACAGTCTTTGACGTAATGCCACTGTCCTACTATTACTGTCTTTGACGTAATGCCACAGTCCAACTATTACAGTCTTTGATGTAATGCCACTGTCCAACTATTACTGTCTTTGACGTAATGCCACAGTCCTACTAATACTGTTTTTGACTTAATGCCACAGTCCTACTATTACTGTCTTTGACTTAATGCTATTGTCCTACTAATACTGTCTTTGACGTAATAGCACAGTCCAACTATTATTGTCTTTGACGTAATGCCACTGTCCTACTATTACTGTCTTTGACGTAATGCCACAGTCCTACTATTACTGTCTTTGACTTAATGCTATTGTCCTACTATTACTGTTTTTGACGTAATGCCACTGTCCTGCTATTACTGTCTTTGACGTAATGCCAAAGTCCTACTATTACTGTCTTTGATG